AAGTCATGTTTGTAGGACTTTATCAATCTCAAACTTAGGACACATGGTATTTTGTCAGCCATAACTTAATACTGATCGAAGTAGAATATTTGAGTCTAACTGAACCATCCATCCCTATTACCAATAGAGATGGAAGAGGATGAGCTAAAAGAAACTACATATACCATCTCGGACACATTGGAGTATTTTTACCAAATGCCCCATTTAATGCTTTCAATTGCTCACTTAAAATTCGATTAATCTTCAATTGCTCCAAATCAACTTCAATTAAATTCCAAATAGCATTTTTTCAAACCAATTGTATCCAAGTTGGGATTTCTTGTACAATTAACTTAATTTGCACATATTAATTATATAATCCCTCAATTTATATATAACTAAATAAGAATAGAAGCTCAAATAAACGATAAAATGCACTTATCAATTGTCTACCCATTCTCCTCTGATTTGACAATTTACAAATATTTCTTGACTCTTGTGATGTCCATATGAAATAGAAATGTAATAGGAAAAAACGTAAAGGTATCCAAAAGATCTTATTTGATGGTTGAATACATTTCTATAGTCTCATATCACGTAATGCCCCAACTCTTTCTTAAGTACTGAGGGTGATCAAAATAAGCAAGAATACTATGACTCCACCCAATTTAGTATTGGAAAATTGTTTGAATAAAATCACTTCACTTCACCAAATTGTTTAAGGTGGGACCACACAAATACGTGTTTTTCTTCACGAGTAAATAATTGCAGTACACATTGCTTAAAATTCGCTTCAAGAAATTAATTAAACAAACAGCCCATCATATGCAAGTTCCCATTTGTTAATTGAGTGGCAGGCAAGATTACAATGTTATATCAAGTTGCTTATAACTTCAATTATTTTCTGACATGAATCCATTCTTTGACCTTTTAAGCACGAAATTAGTGTCAAGTAGTACGTGGCTGGTGCAAAGAATATGCCTAAAACTTCATTATAATTGAACATTATTTCATGATCAACTAAATTGATTATTTCTTTTGTTATTGGACAAATTTACGTGAGACGTGAGTGCTTTTATTGAAGTCAAACCTATTTTGTATGTATATTGATCTTTTTTGAAGAAAATATGATCGCAAGGAAGGAAACTTCAGTTCTTGCAGATGCATAGAGGCAACCATGTGATTGCAACTATTTCTACTGTGCAATGGCATGGTGTTTTCCTAAAATAGAAATGCCATTTCCATATTTCATTCAATCTCTTCAAGAAAAGTAATTTGTACACAATTTTAACCTAATTTGAGAGGCCAATTTTATTATTCTTCATCTTGTA